TAAATGACATTAGTATTTGTCATATTTTCAATGTGGTTTAAATCTACTCACAGCCCTTGATGATTGTCACTTGGATCCAGTATAGCTTCATCAGTGGGCCCAAGTAGTACCTGGGAGTATTTGCAGCTCCTATATTGCTAAGATAGTGATGAGAGTTTGTGATTATTATTTGAAACTAATATAATTCAAGGAAAAAACTTTGGTAATTTTAAAAGGCTTAGGATAGTATAAAAGTACATTTTCATAAAGCTAGCCACTAATTTTTGTCCAGAGATAAAAGATATTAGGGACATCCCCTGGTATTGCAGCTTCTAGCAAATGGTATTAAAATTCTAATTCCATATTGCTTGTTCTTTTACATTGAAGCAGATGTCAATTTCATATGGATTTTGAATATCATCCAATCTGTTCTTCAAATATAAATGTAATTACTGGTCAATGGTTTTGGATAATTTATACATCTGCTGAAATCATGGAGATTTTATTAATTATTTTGACTTAGAGTTTGTTCCCTTCAAAAAGCTGAGAATTTGGAGCAATATTGCATTGGGTTAAATCACCCTTACTTTTGATAAGAGACATATGTACTTATAGAGTCTGGGTGTGGATAATCTGAATTTCTGTTTACTTACAAGTACTGATAGAAGATTCTGGTACAAAAAGAGGATTCCCTCCACCTAAAAATGATTTTGTGTTTCTATGTCATGTACTGTTTGTGAAAGGCAAAGGGGGATAATATGTGTTTATGTAAAAGTTAACCTTTAGATAACTATAATAAAGTTAATGTTATTTCTCAGTTATGAGAAGTTGTTAAAGTTATAAAAAACAACTTCCATCCAGTTTTAAGTTACCTGAGATATAATTCTCAAACTTTTGCCTAAGTGTGACCCATATACCTTAATAATAAGCTTATTTCTTATATTCTCATCACTTAAAACTTTCTAAATGAAGTGAAAGCAGTGAAAATCATTTGTTAATACTTCTTGCTATCCTCCTAATATTACTGCTACTGCTATAATTATTCATAATACATAGTCAACATAATATAATTATCCTAAGAGTCAAAATTTGGGTTAATTTATTCATCAGCTGAGGCGTAGCCCTAAAGGTTTTAATTTGATTTAGAATCTGCAATGCTGCAAAAGTGTAAGATGTTGAACCAAATTATCTTGGATAAAGTTAGCCTTGCTTCTAGTAATAGCTACATGTGTTATATGTTCTACATTCATCTAGTTTCTTCTTCACATCAACTCTCTAAAGTAGGTGTGAGATATCCACATCTTATAAAAGAGAGAAATGAAATTTGGAAAGCTTAAGCAAATTATCAAAGTTATCTAGATTTTAAATTTAGGCTGCCTCATTATAAAACACATGTTTCAGTTCAGTTCAGTTGCCCAGTCATGTCTGACTCTTTGCGACCCCATGAATCGCAGCACACCAGGCCTCCCTGTCCATCACCAAACCCCGGAGTGTACTCAAACTCATGTCCATCGAGTTGGTGATGCCATCCAGCCATCTCATCCTCTGTCATCCCCTTCTCCTCCTGCCCCCAATCCCTCCCAGCATTAGGGACTTTTCCAATGAGTTAACTCTTCGCATGAGGTGGCCAAAGTATTGGAGTTTCAGCTTCAACATCAGTCCTTCCAATGAATACCCAGGACTGATCTCCTTTAGGGTGGACTAGTTGGATCTCCTTGCAGTCCAAGGGACTCTCAAGAGTCTTCTCCAACACCACAGTTCAAAAGCATCAATTTTTCGGCGCTCAGCTTTCTTCACAGTCCAACTCTCACATCCATACATGACCACTGGAAAAACCATAGCCTTGACTAGATGGACCTTTGTTGGTAAAGTAATGTCTCTGCTTTTTAATATGCTATCTAGGTTGGCCATAACTTTCCTTCCAAGGAGTAAGTGTCTTTTAATTTCATGGCTGCAATCACAATCTGCAGTGATTTTGGAGCCCAAAAAAGTAAAGTCTGCCAAGATTTCCACTGTTTCCCCATCTATTTCCCGTGAAGTGATGGGACCAGATGCCATGATCTTAGTTTTCTGAATGTTGAGCTTTAAGCCAAATTTTTCACTCTCTCACTTTCATCAAGAGGCTTTTTAGTTCCTCTTCACTTTCTGCCATAAGGTTGGTGTCATCTGCATATCTGAGATTATTGATATTTCTCCCAGCAATCTTGATTCCAGCTTGTGTTTCTTCCAGCCCAGCGTTTCTCATGATGTACTCTGCATATAAGTTAAATAAGCAGGGTGACAATATATAGCCTTGACATACTCCTTTTCCTATTTGGAAAGAATGTGTGGTTCCATGTCCAGTTCTAACTGTTGCTTCCTGACGTGCATACAGGTTTCTCAAGAGGCAGGTCAGGTGGTCTGGTATTCCCATCTCTTTCAGAATTTTCCACAGTTTGTTGTGATCCACACAGTCAAAGGCTTTGGCATAGTCAATAAAGCAGAAATATATGTTTTTCTGGAACTCTCTTGCTTTTTTGATGATCCAGCGGGTGTTGGCTCTGGTTCCTCTGACTTTTCTAAAACCAGCTTGAACATCTGGAAGTTCACGGTTCACATATTGCTGAAGCCTGGCTTGGAGAATTTTGAGCATTACTTTACTGGTGCGTGAGATGAGTGCAATTGTGCAGTAGTTTGAGCATTCTTTGGGATTGCATTTTTTGAGATTGGAATGAAAACTGACCTTTTCCAGTCCTGTGGCCACTGCTGCGTTTTCCAAATTTGCTGGCATATTCAGTGCAGCACTTTCACAGCATCATCTTTCAGGATTTGAAATAGCTCAACTGGAATTCCATCACCTTACTAGCTTTGTTCGTAGTGATGCTTTCTAAGGTTCACTTGACTTCACACTCCAGGATGTCTGGCTCTAAGTGAATGATCACACCATTGTGATTATCTGGCTCGTGAAGATCTTTTTTGTACAGTTCTTCTGTGTATTCTTGCCACCTCTTCTTAATATCTTCTGCTTCTGTTAGGTCCATACTATTTCTGTCCTTTATCTAACCTATCTTTGCATGAAATGTTCCCTTGGTATCTCTAATTTTCTTGAAGAGATTTCTAGTCTTTCCCATTCTGTTGTTTTCCTCTATTTATTTGCATTGATCGCTGAGGAAGGCTTTCTTATCTCTCCTGGCTATTCTTTGGAACTCTGCATTCAAATGGGAATATCTTTCCTTTTCCCCTTTGCTTTTTGCTTCTCTTCTTTTCACAGTTATTTGTAAGTCCTCCTCAGGCAACCATTTTGCTTTTTTGCATTTCTTTTCCATGGGGATGCTCTTGATCCCTGTCTCCTGTATAATGTCACGAACCTCCTACATCTATTATTTCCACCCCCCCCCTCCCCCCCCCCCGGCAATTCTTATTCTTATCTTGGCATACTCACCTGTTGTAATATAAACAACAGGTGTTGGTGGATTTAGTCTGAGCCACCAGGGAAACCCTAACTAAATACACTTACTGTTAAATGCTTGCTCACCAGAATCAAAGTAGAATATCAATAAAATATTCTGGTTATTAAGATTGCCTTCATCATTGTGCACATCAAGTATTAAAATCTAGGATCTCTAGACAATTATTTCAGATGTTCTTTTGTTTGCCCTATCTATAATCATGTAATGATCCTACAGCCTGCTGGAACACATAGGGACTAGGCCATCTTTCACCTTCTTAGAAGAATGTCAATCTAAATAGCAATTTACCTTTCACTGAACAATATTCTACTCCCCGAAACATGTGGATGAAACATGTTCTGTGACAGTTATATCAGCACATAGACCAACAGTCTGAAATGTTTGGCATTAAAACTATTTTAAACTGAATTATAGATAATTTTATCCTGAATTATCTCTAGTAAAGACATATATTTAAGCGTGAGTTGATATTGTTTAATTTCTACTGATGTTCCTTTGTTGGTACTGCTGTTGTTGTTAAAGATGATGTTGATATTATTGAAAGACTTCCAATGTTTTGGAAGAATCTGTAATGAATTCATATTAAAACTCTTTCCTGAATTCTCAAGCACAAGGTTATTATTACTGCTTCCCTATTTAAGAAGGAATTATCAGGGAAATATGGGGTATAAGGAGGTTTGTTCCACTTTCCAATTTGAGGGAATCTTGTCATTGTTTCCTTTCATCGATGGATCTGTGAGTTGAACTGGATAGAATGAGAGAGATTTTCTAAATATTATTTCTTTGATCACATGTATTTTTTGACAAAAGACCCCAGCTTGAAGTTTTTCTTGAAGTTTGCTGTTACCAAAATTGTATCTAGTACAGTTATCCGTCTGTTCAAAAAGTGAAAGTCACTCAGTCGTATCCGACTCTTTGCAATCCCATGGACTGCAGCCTGCCAGGCTCCTCTGTTCATGAAATTCTCCAGGCAGGAGTACTGGAGTGGGTTGCCATTTCCTTCTCCAGGATCAATCTATTAAGTATGCAAAATAGTAGCTTCCCTAGTAGTTCAGTTGGTAAAGAATCTGCCTGCAATGCAGGAGACCCAGCTTCCATCCCTGGGTAGGGAAGATCTGCCAGAGAAGGAAATGAAAATCCACTCCAGTACTCTTGCCTAGAGAATTCCGTGGACAGAGGAGCCTGGCGGGCTACAGTCTATGGGATCGCAAAGAATCGGACATGACTATGGGATTAGTCTCTCAAGTAAGCAAAATATTACCTCAAACCTAAATCAATTTTGTGCTATGAGAAAAAGATTATTAAGTAGATGAAACATTGTTGTTGAAATGTGGATTTAGAAGCTTCAATACTTAGTACCATGTAATTTCTAAATCATAACTGGTATTGATATGATAGGGAAAGAAACAGCCATTAATAAGTGAAAGCAATGAAAAAATATGCATTAAATAAAAACAAATTAAAAGCATATAAGTAATGAAATAGTTATTCAGCTAATATTCTGCTATATGAAAGTGAAAAAAAAAAAGGTTTCCTAATATTTTTGGTTTATTTACATGTTTCCTGATCCAGATTTACATTTTTGAAAATAATATCTACTATCAACCTGATATAAAGAGTAGTTCATTGCGACTGACATCTTCTGGAAAAGAAGGAATTATTTTTAATGGAATTGCTGACTGGTTATATGAAGGTGAGTTGAATAAATTTAGTTTCAAAAGCATACAAATGACATATTTTTGTATAATCTTTAAGAAAAATCTGTTCATTCTGGAGCAATACTTAGAACACTATTTCTTCTCATTTCCTCTCAAAATTGCCTTCATGTTTTCATATCTTTGTATTTGCTCATATTTTGACTGGTTATGATTTACATGTTTCCATGTTTAAGACACACGTGTATATACATATATATGTATTATATAAATACACACAGATATTGTTCAGGTTAAATAGATCTTATGCATGGTATTATTGAGGCATAACCTTTGAGAAAAAGGAAGTCACCAAGAATCAAGAGGTAGTAACCCTAAAAATAATCTGGGATTTCAATTATTTTTCCAGTATTAAATGGGGAAACATACAGCTTTTCAAGCAATGAAGTACCAAGATTATATCTTCCTCATAAATAGATCATTTTAGCTACAGTGTAAAGCTGGAATTGAATAGCAAAATGAACCATCGAACAACCAGAAGAATTTTCCTATGTTCTATCGAGAGAGAATGGGCAATAGGACTAGGGTTAAAGCAATAAAAGGAAAGAAGATTCTAAAATTGATGAGGCAGTCATATACATAGATCTTAATGTTTAAATGGATGAAATGAGTTGAAGTCAGGAATGATTCTTCGCCTTCTGGTTGGATCACCAGTAAATAAACAGTGGTAGCAGACACAGTGAACAGACATTCAGAAGGAACACTTGACTCAGCAGAAGAGGAATAATTTAGTGGGAACACTGGTGCTTCACACTGTGCTGGTATGCTCACTGGGTGACAAAATAGGATCCTTTGCACAGAAGAAATTTTGAATCAACTGGGAGTAAACTTAATGTACAATGTCCTGAATTGACCATTGATCAAGATGATTCAGGCCTCTGTCTTTTAGGGAAAGCTTCATGTACTTTATGGAATTACATATTTGAGGAAATTGTAAGGAGGTAAATCAAAGACCATTATTTGACAAATAGAGTTACTTTCTTAATTAGAGAATAGAAACCTATATACTGGGGCTGAAACTGAACAATGTGTTGGGTAAAGGCAGGACCAATGGGTAACAAAAACTTTCAAGACTGCAAAGTAGGTCTGACACTTTCCAAAAAACAGGGAAATGGGAAAATTATGGCTTTTGCCATTCAAATTAAAGTTACACCTTTGGTCATATGTTCTATGTATACTAGGAAATTTCAGATATGCTGTGTGAGTTAATTCGTACAATCCTAGTGTCTTACTTACTGAAGAAACCAAGACTCAGGGAGGATAGGTAACTTGGGCAAGAACTCAGCTTCGCAGGGCAGAGCTGGTGCTTGAATGCGTGTCTTCAAAGCCACTGCTTCCTCTTGGGCTACTCCGTCTGTTCAGCGGAAGGCCTCTCACTCTTCTCAGAAGGATGATGCACATTATGGACATAAGGCGTTAGATTTCCCTGGTCTGTTTCATCAACCAGACTCTGAAGCCTACTGTCCGTGGACTTACCTCAACTCTTGCTTCATTTCCAAAAGAAAGGACCCTACCGAGGGAATCTGTATCAAGGTCTGGCAGAGGGATTTAGGCAATTCAGATGTCATTGAGTTTTCCTTCAACATTTTGCCTGCCATCCCCAATCTATGCTTCAAGAGTCCCACATGGACCTTAGTAATAATACAATATAACTTACTATTACTCAGTCGGACACAACTGAGCGATTGAACTGAACTATCATTTTACTTGTCCAATGTGCCATCAGCTCCCAGAATCCAGACCTTCTCTTTTCCCTTCAATATACTCATGAGAAGACAGTACTTTCTGTTAGGAATGTATATGATCTTTAATGGGGGCTTCCCAGGTGGCTCAGTGGTAAAGAATCTGCCTGCCGTGCAGAAGGCACTGGTTTGATCCTCGGGTTGAGAAGATCCCCTGAAGGAGGAAATGGCAACCCATTCCAGTACTCTTGCCTGGAGAATCCCATGGACAGAGGAGCCTGGTGGGCTACAGTCCGTGAGGTTGCAAAGAGTCAGACATGACTGGAAACTGAGCATGCGTGATTTTTAATAGTATGTGCGTGATACTCTACTGTGGAAATGTCTTTTTATTACTTTGCAGAAATCAACTACAATATGAATTAGTGTGTGTGGGAAACCCAGGAAGTAACATGCACCATTTCCACTTACTTTTTTAAAACTTGAAATGTACCTTCTATAAGTACAGGAAAAAACATTTTAGAAGAGTCACATTAAAGATAATAAAATGTTTAAAGGCAAATTTTAAGTGCATTAATTTTTTAGGGCTTAATTCTTTAAGGCAAAACCAATGTGTGAGTGTGGCTGTTGCTTCCAACCACCATCACTTAAGTGGAGTCTTTAAAAGTGCAATTGTTTCCATGTCTAGTATTATTCAATTCCTAAGTAAAGTAAAAGCAAATAAAATCTAATGTGTTTTAAACAGTTGGTGAAGTTCAGAAGAAAAATAGAACTTTGTGCTAAAAATGAAGCATTTTAAATATAATATACACAAAGCACCTCAAATCTTATTCATATAAATTGACACATTTAACTAAATAAAATATTAGACCAATGTTTAGTTTAAAAAGGTAGAGTTCACAGTTGCCAAGTTTACAAATTTGAAAGCTTCTATAAAGTATTGAAACTATTAAATAGAAACAAAAAATGACTTAAGTTCTATTATTTGAACATATAGAATAATGGAATGAATATGCCTACATGATTTACAAATATAATTTAGAATCTCATACTTTAAAGTAATCCTTCTTTGAAATTCAATTCAACAGTTACTGAGCACATATATCTGTTAGGCATTATCTGAGAGCAATATCATGAGGAATATGAGATTCTATGTTTTGGATATTTCCAACTTAGTGACGTGAAAGGCTATAAACAGCTATTGTATAATGAACCATCTGGAGCATGGTAAAATAGAAATACAACTATTGTTGCTCAGTTACTAAGTCACGTCCAACTCTTTGTGACCCCATGGACTGCAGCATAGCAAGTCTCCCTGTCCCTCACTATATCCCAGAGTTTGCCCAAGTTCATGTCTATTAAATCAGTGATGCTATCCAACCACCTCATCCTCTCCCTCCCTCTTCTTTACCCTTCAGTCTTTCCCAGCATCAGTGTCTTTTCCAATGAGTCAGGTCTTTGTGTTAGGTGGCCGAAGCATTGGAGTTCCAGCTTCAGCATCAGTCCTTCCAATGAATGTTCAAGGTTGATTTCCTTACGGATTGACTGGTCTGATCTCCTTGCTGTGCAAGGCACTCTCTAGAGTCTTCTCCAGCACCACAGTTCGAAAGCATCAATTCTTTGGCCCTCAGCTTTCTTTATGGTCCAACTCTCACATCCATACATGACTGCTGGAAAGACTGTAGCTTTGACTATACAGACCTTTGTTGGCAAACTGATGTCTTTGCTTTTTAATATGTTGTCTAGGTATATCATCGCTTTCCTTCCAAGAAGCAAGTGTCTTCTAATAGACCTATGTGTCATCATATTAAATCTATGCATAAGTAGAGTTAATTCTGATGGGTTGGGGGAATATAGAGGGGTTTTATAGAAGAAAGAGTTTTTGCACTGAACTCTAAGAATGACAAGAATAAAGAAATGAGATTTAAAAAATTCAAGATAAACAATATCCTTGTCAACAAACTGGGACTGTTAATTTTTTGTTATTGGTAAGAACAATGTGAAATGCCTATATTCACTTTACTTGTGCCTTTTCGTAGACACAGGAAGTCACATTTACCCATTAATTGATTCAACAAATAGTTACTGAGTTCTTACTAAATCCCAGTAAAACTGAACTGTGACAGATAAAAGGAAAATAAATTAGAGATGCAATCATGGAAGCCAGAGGAAGATAGGGTAAACAATGATGCTAAGTCCAAGGTCAAAACAGCTAAGGATTCCAAAGTTGCTGTTGGATTTGCTATCAGAATTTGATAAGAGCAAAATCAGTCAATTGGTGGTACCATAAGCAAGATTTCAGTGGGATGGAAGTATAAATGGGAAGCAAGAGGTTTTGAACATAGACAATACTTTCAAAAAAGTTGATAGTAAGATACAAACAGTAAGGGGAAAAGTCAACCCACAAACCACAGGTCAGTAACATGATCAGGAAATCCTATGTAAATTGATAAACTCAAATGGATAAAATCAGCTTACTTTTCAGAAATGTTAATCTGAACACTATGATCATATATGCGTTAGTTTTCAGTGAATGGTTTGTGTTTAGGCTATATTTTTAAGTGTTTGTGATATTAAACAACATGTGTTGAAAACTCCATCTGCTCTGCAGTGAGATTTTCTAAATCAGTATAATAGAGACAATGAAATGGAATGTGATGCGAATTGTAAAAATGCATTGTTTGTAAATAGTATGATATAATTATAGGAAGTTTAAATCCATAAGTAAAAGTGCCTCTGAGTTGCAATTAAAGAACTGCCTTGTCTAAGAGGACTTTTAAGCAAAATCATATTAAAGGTTTTTTTCATATTTCTCTTTTCTATTTTGTTAGCTTTATTTTTATACCTGAAGGAAGTCACATAACTCTTTGTATTACTTTGCTATTTTGGCATTTTTTGTGAGGAAAAACTTTAGGCATAAGTCACTCTAAAATAAATAAGAGCAGATAGTGTCTAATTTCTGTTGAATAGTGCCCTCAAATTGGAGACCTTCTTATTCTTGGAAAGTACTTGTATATACATACTTCAGCACCCAGGACAGTGCCTGTTTCTTAAAACTCTGAGGGTTGATTTTGGGCAACACGCTGTGATCTTTCTGTCCCTACAAGTCTCATCAGACTTAAGGTTGAATACTCAATTGTCATTTTGTATGTTTTTTCTTCAGTGTGTTATGTGGATGACTCATGTCTCCTCATCTGAATTTTAAGTTACTTGAGTAAATCAGTGTCAGGATCACTGCTGGAAGAAAAGAAAAAGTCACTATCAAAATACTATTTAGTTTTATCTATGAAGGAGCCACT